CAATTCCGTTTTTCTCCCATTTTTTGTTCATTCCACCATTGCAAATCACTTCCACGTCATTCTTACAATTGATTCATCCATTTTTTGGCCATAATTGATGCATGAACCAAGCTACACAACTCCATTAAAGTGAGCTCCAAGTGGAAAATTGATTTTCTGTTTTACACCATTTCAAGGCTTTCTTCCCATCCAAACACCTTCCTCATCAATTATAGAACGTGTCCATATAGTTTTCTCAAAGAGTTGGTGATTATTTGAAGCTCTAGAAGTCAAATTTCAGAGGTACATACTTTTCACCATAGCTCACGAATTACTAACCTTTCATGCGCCATTTTTATACCATTGCACTCCTCTCATCTCCTATTTGAATTCTGGTACAAAAAAGATCATTTTTGTGACAATTTTTGGTTCTTGAAGTTTCTTGGATGCATTCGATTTGAAGGAATTAATGGATAAAAGTGAAGTTTGATGTTATATTTGGAATGCCCATGAAAAAATAATAAGGTTTGGCTCAAGAAAAAGTGATTTTGGTTAAGAAATGAGGAAATGAGAATTTTTGCCAAAGGTTGAAGATGACCGGAATTGTTTCCGGCCACCACGAGCATGCCGGACCGTCGCGGGCTCCTCCCTCCCTCAGTTTCCGTTTCACGTTTGCCAGGACAAGCAGCTGCCGTCCGATCGGGCGGGATCCTTGACCGCGGTATGTCGATCGTACCGCTCCCACTGCATCCACGTCGCGCCTCGCGTGGCTCCCAGTCAGCTGCCAACGTAGCGTGTATGCCAACTCAGCCGACTTGTGTTCCCTCACCCCTGTTCGAATCCCAGCTGTGACGTTTCTGATTTATTTCCACTTATTTCTTGTTTTCCTTATGTTCTCTCATATTTTCCTTTATTTCCATGTTCTTTCATTTCTCTTATTTTCATATGCTGACTTCAAATAATCATAAAAATTAGGAAAATTAATCTTTTTGATCCCCGTTTTTTTGTGCTGAATCTTTGAAATGTTTAGAATTTTATAGAACAGGAATTATAATTTTACCATTTTCTGACGTTTTCTTTGGATTTTTTACATTTGGGATGTCATAAGAATGTAAATACTTGTGTCATGATTTTGTTGATTTTCTTTGACCTATCAATTCATCATTTAAATGCCAAATCTTTTGCAGGATATTCATACACACATTGAGGTATTGTGATATATTTTTGTGGGAATTTTATTGTACCATTTTAATTGGTTTTGGATGCTTTCTTTAACATGCTCCATTTTAACCTTTCTTTTAGTATACATGACATAGTTTCAACTTGTTTGGCCATTTCTCCTTGGATATTTTTGTTGTATCTCTCACCCCTGGTTTGTGGCTTGATGTAGGGCATTGGAGATTTTTATTTGAATTTTTTAGCACCTTTTGCTATTTTTCTTATATTTTTGTATTCAGACTTGTAATTTGGACTTTCGAACGGGCTTTGCTTTTCTTTTGGCTCCAACGGCCTCGAATTGTTTGTGTGGTGAACGCTAGAGTTCCTATTGCTTATTATAGACATTATATAGGATGTGTAGATTATTGATTGGCTGGTTTTATCATACATAATTGCCCATTAGGTTCCATATTTCCATGATAGCGCGTTATGATTCCAAATCGTAGTATACGTAGGTCATTCGTAGGTTTTATTGCCTCGTATCACTTTATATTCACTTGTGGCCAAGATTGTATGTTTATAATAGGCCATTTTCCATTCATTATGGGCTTGAGGTTGAGATGACTTGCCTCCCTCACTTGCATTCCATGTTTACTGTTATGAATTTGCATTTCCTGTATGCTGTTTATTTCATCTGTTTTCTGTTGCTTCCTTTGCCTTTCCCTTAGGATCTCCATCCCTTCTTGTTGAAGATGGAATGTGATAGACATTAGGCTTTGCAACCATGTATGACAACATTAGGGTAGCCTTCCCTTTTGCAAACTTCAACCTTAGGACGAACTTGGCATGATAACGTTAGGATTAAACTAGTCTCCCCGTAGTAAGCCCGAACTACGTTTGCTTTGATCTTTCATACCAGATGAAAGTACGTAGGCACGAGATGCGATATCTCGGCGAGCAACCTTCCCCCATTTTATCCGTAGTTAGGCAAACTACGTTGACTCTGATTTCTCGTTCCAGACGGGAATACGTAGGCATAAAGTGCGACACTTTGTCGAGTCACTTTTCTTTTCTTTTGTCCTTAAGCCTTTAGCTAGATAGTACTAAACACACCCTTATTAGATAAACAACAAGCGTGGATCCCATCGAGTACGATGGACGTGAGGGGTGCTAATACCTTCCCCTTGCGTAACCGACTCCCGAATCCATGATTTGGTTGCGATGACCATTCCTTTCCCGTTTTGCGTTAGGTTTACTCTGAGCGTTTCCTTTCCCTCCGTTGGGATAAATAACGCACGGTGGCGACTCTTCTGTTTTGCCGGCGCCGATTTTCGCAGTAGCGACAGCTCGTTATGAATGAAAGTGATTCTGCTGCTACACGCTATGTGAAAGTGTATGAAAAGCATGAATTTAATTTAAATGTTATCGAGCATAACAGGTGTATGTGTGATGTTTGAATTATATGTGACACCCTTATTTAAGATGCATGTTATCTTACTCTGATTTATAACGTATTATTCTGTGGGATTTAGAAGGGTGTTATAAAGCTCACGTGAAGTGAGAAACTCTGTATCTTTTGAAATATAGCGTGTGTATCTGCGTTCTCTCTTATCCTCAAGCTGAAATGTTTATATAAGCTTATGGCCTAGATTATAAATTTTCTTGAGAATTGCAACTGCCCACCTTATAATGATAGTGGACCGTTGAATGTTTATTTTTTAGGGAGACGTGAGTTATTTCCTTGACTTCTTTTGACAGAGAACATTATTTCTGACATTTCTCCATAATGGGCAAGCGTAAGTGTCGTGGGCAGTACCATCCTTATTACGGGTAATGGGATTATATTGTTCTTTTGTAGGCGACACGATTCCCTTGCCCTTTATGGACCCTTTGCAAGTATATTACTACACTCTCTAAAAATTTAATAACGTATCGGAGGACTAAACACATTGATAACAAATATCATTATTTATGTGATCTTTCAAATCAAAGAGGTATATTTGATTTTTTGTGATACGATACAGTCATCGAAATTGAATCAGTTTGTGAGACTTATGAGGTCACTGGAAATACAATCAATTTAAAATTAAACGGTATGCAATGAGCAGTTTAAGGAGAGAAATTTGTTGGACTTATATAAAGCACCATATTTTCATTTTGTAAGAACAAGAAGTAACCTCATGCGATTAATATTGTTAAAGTTATGTTACTACTTCTTCAATTCAACATTCACACACTCATGCAAATTTGGCCGCTTGATAGATAGATTTCCCACTCATGTATTCTCCAGAATATAATTTCTAGACTTGAAACAACGCTCCCAACAGTAGTGGATTCAGTTTCAAGTGTCAGAAAATGGAGTTAAGTTTGGTACCTATCAATCACTACTCTGATCCATCATAGTTTCGTCCCTTTTGTGTGATCCTTGATATCAATGAATTATCACTTGTTAGTTAACTGTGATTATCTACTATTCTGAGTATCTTCAATGATTTATTGGTACATAGAGTTATGATATTTAAGAACTGTGGGTCCAATGTTTACTCTTTCTCGATAGATTCAATTATGAAGGACTATGCAAATCTCACTAAGAATGAACATTGCAAACAAACCCAGGTGATTGTAGCTTTCTGTTACCACCGACAAATCACTTGATTTTGCTGCATTTGAAAACCTCATGTTTTACGTTTTATGTTTTATGATTCTTATCATTCAACATTGGTTTTGTTTTCGGATTTTCTTTACAAATCGTTGAAATCAGAAACCAAATGAACAAACTAAACACATTAACATGATGTGACATAATTTACATTTGAGTTTCCAAGTACAAGTAATGATTGCTTTAACTAGAAGCTTCCAGGCCAAATTTGCGTCGAATTACCTTAGGCCGAAGCTGAAGGAGAGTCTAATTATAGCAAAATCTTAACTCTTGTCTTCAACAAAAGACTGTTGAGATGAAACATTTCATAAATGCAGCTGACATGGTAGTTCCAACATATACAGAGATTTTGAAGTGGATAAAGTAAGGTTTATGGATTGTGTTTGTGTATCTCTCTTTCCTTAGCATTTATGGAGCAAAGAAAGTAAATGAGAGTGAGGCTACACTTCCAATATGCATTCAATGTTGGATGTAAATGTACTTAAATGTACTAGAGATTTATAGATTTAAGCAAAGCCATTATTAGAGTAGGAAAGTTGTCAAGGGTTGGGTAGTTGGAAGTATCTAACAATGTCACACCACTGCAAAAATTTTGACAAATATTCATCCAAACATATTGTTGGCAGTTATTATTACTACCTCTTGAATTATTTTGCTTTTGAAGGACATAATCAGATACAACATTATGACAAAATTTGATCCATGTAACCGATATCACTCAGTGTGATAAGACCTGATTGTTGTTGTTGTAGAAAGACATAATGAAGGAGAATTACGTCTTAGGAAAAAAGATTAAGATTAACACGAGTTATGTTTTGCGAGAAAATAATCAAAACATACACGAAAGCCGTGTTCACGTAACCGAGATTACTTATTTGAAGTGGTCCTCTTTAGGGGAAATTGTCTTAATAACATCAGTAACACTCAATTCACTCTCACACTACTTATTTCATCTTATTTCCCTTTTTGGTATTGAGTTTTAACGAAATTAATATCAACTACTTGTGCAGCAAAAATCGTCTTGTTTAGTTCATAATCTCGATAGAATCTACTAATGTTTCGCTCTGTCAACGCGGATAAATATAGACGACCGAGTCCAATATATGTACATAATATACTAGGCTAGATATATATTTAAGTGAAATGAACAACATAGATAACATAGGATTGGTCCATGCCATGCTGTATATAAAGCTAAAAGTTCCTAACTAGAACAGAAGAAGCTGCACCTGCTCTTCAAGAATTTCGAAGGGTTCTGATCTGGTGAGTGCATGAATTTGCAGTTAGGACAAGCAGGTGATGACTTGCATAGCATTACCAACATATGGCACTGCATACAAACTGTTGCAACCATCTCTTTGTAATCTCCCTCGGTCGTCGACAACCACGACGGCGAACCATTTAAACCCCCTGGCGAATCTTTCTTACACTTGTTTGACTCAGCACAAAGATCATCACGTTCTCTCAAATTCTTAGGGGAATTAGAATTACCAGAATTACGCTTCTCAGATACGTCATCACAACATGTCTTGTTTTCTTTTTTCCTCTGTGATTCACATGTCAGGTTTAGCTCTAAGTCTAAGCTCATCTGATCAGAAGGAGGTGTCCGAAGGCTTCGTCTCGAGTCTTCCGTCGCAGCCTCGTCCAGTTTCGTGTTACACAGCTGTATCTGCCCAGACTGCATATAAAAAAAGATCATAAGATATGCCATCATAGAAACTTTCTAATTTCTTTACAATATATAGTAATATTCTACACATATATATACCTGAATACTAATGTATTGACGCCATTTATCGGACGGAAACATGGTTTTGAGGCGAGGCTTTATATCGAAGGTAGATTTCTTATCAATGAAGAATTCTTCAGTAAACGGCTCCTCCCACTTTCTTTTCTTTGTCGACGCTTCGAATTCTTCGGTAACTTCGGTTCTCGGAGTCATGGACAGTGCTTTGAACAAGGACACCATAGTGTTGTTTCAAATGATGGCTGTGTGTATCTGTTGGTGGTGACTGATGATGATCAAATGTAGCACAAGACTTGGGTGTTTATATAGGATTTAATGTGTCCATCTATCTCTTAGAGTTCTATAACTAACTTCATAGGAGAATTTAATGTAAGCAAAAGTTGAAAGTCTTAATAGAAGGCTTTTGCTTACGTAGAAGTGCTTTTCCATGTTGGTTCTGGATTGAATTAATTACTTACCTACGAGCCAGTAAGTTTTTTTTAATAAACAAAATAAGTTGTGAGTTAAAATCAAAAGGTGAAAATTTCATCCATATTTCTGAAATGATATGACATTACAGCATACTATTGAAATTTTATTTTAAGGAGAGAAAATTTATTTATCCATCACATCATGGTAGTTAATGTTTACTACAGAAAAGATAAAATAATTGATGTTATATACAGTTAGAAATTTAAAGTTGATAACTAAATGCAGAATAATTAATAATACGATTTTTAAAATTTTTTTTTTATGTAATAGTAAAAGTATAATTGCATGTCTTTTCTTTGTTTATATTTCTAGGAAAACTTGTTTGATGAGAATATTAATTGATTGATATTTTTGGAATGATAAGATTAAGTATGGTGGAGGTGCTTTAAATTTGATTGTATTTGAGTCAAATAAACAATGTCATGTTTTGGTTTTCATTTATGTCAAGAAGAGGTACTTTCTCAAGACTCAACCATAAGCTAAAAGAAATAATCAGTGTTTTAAAAACCGGACCGGTCATCGAATCGGTGAGGGTACTGGATCACTGGTTTATCAGTTGAATCACTGGGTCATTGGTCGAACCGCATGACTAAATCGGATTAAACCGGATAACTCGGTTGAATAGACCTGTCATTATATAAATATAAAACCAGCCGAACCGGATGATTCAGTTTCTAAAAAAATATAACTAGTACTTAAATTTTTTGAAAATATTATATCATAAATTCACAAGTACATAATTTAAATTTAAATTTTAAATAAATGTATCACACATAATAAAATAATACAAAATTACAAAATAATTGTAGCATAATCTAATTTTAAACAATTTTTTTTAATTTTTATAACTTTTGCATTTAAATTTTAATTAAAAAATAAAAAATGCATTAGAACCGGTTCAACCCTAAACTCGGTTTTTTTCGGTCCAATCCGAATTTTCCCGGTTTTTACCAGTTTAATGACACAGACGATCGAACTACTAAACCAGACCGATTACTAGGCCGGTTCCCGGTTCGATCGGTCCGACCGATCGGTCCGGTTCGATTTTTAAAACACTAGAAATAATCACATTTAATTTTTGTGAAATAAAAAAAAAACTAATTAAATTAAGTTGTTTGTATGTTAGTACAATTTGAATTAATTGAATAATATTTAAGAATAGATTAAATATTGAAATTAGTTAAAATTAGTTTATCTTTTAAAACATTTTCGTTGTTACAACATAATTATTTGAGTGTTTAAGTTCGAATCTGAATCACCACAATTTCTCTCCCTCATTCTTATCTAGCGGAGACAAACTATTTACTCTCACCGTGATAATTGAGAAGTCTCCGCGTGTATTTCTATTTACATACGTATATTGACATTTATATAAAGTGTTCTGATCCACATTAATCTAAATAAAAAGTAAAAGTATTAAAATGTATTTGAACGAGGTAATTGAGAATTTTTATGAAATTTAAAATTTTAAACAATTCAAATTATTCAATTGAAATCTATTTATTTAAAAAAAAATTTGTTTAAATAAAGTATTAAAATAATTAATTGTTAAATTTTTCTAGTCATTTTAATAAATTTTTAAATTTTTGACGCAAAATTTAAAATATGAAAAATAAAAATTAACTTGCAATTTAAAAAAAAATTGAACTACCAATTTGTAAAATTTAAAAATTATTCGAACTTTTTTGCAATTTTTTAAATTTTCATAAAATATGAGGATCATCTTGTAAAATTAAAAAAATTAATAATAAATGATTTAACAATTATATCTAAAGTGAATGAATAATTTTAAACTCTTTACTTTTTTTTATATTTTATTTAAAAAATTTTAAATTTAATAAAATACTCATAAATTTATATTATTTTAATAATGCTTCATATTTTTTATTCAAACAATAGATTTTGATCCAATCATTTTAAATTTTTTTACAAATATTTTTTTTTATTAAAATATTTAATCCAAACACACTCTTAATATATCAAATATCAAATATAATGATTCATATATTTAATATCTTACTATCTTAAAAATTTGATATAACAATATTTGAAACTATTGGGTATGCGGTTAGCTCTTACTAGAACTAGCTAGGAGAGAGTAGTATGTGTTGAATTTAGAAGTTATGAGAGGCGGTGAGAAATGAAGAGGGATGACATAGTCATTAATATTGTTGGTGTGTAAACAGATGAAGAAGAAATTTTAAATGCCAATGGTTCTTCTTTAATGCTTACAATAACTCCAACTTCCACAATTGGATAGCTCATAATATTCATATCTTTAAAGCTCTCAACACCCTCTTCAGCCATTAAAACAAACCACGACCTTGGATGACCTATGCTATTAAACACCCCATAAAACTTTAAATGCTTTCAACACCCTCCCACATTAAACCAACCATGTCCTATGAGAGTTACCTAAAATATTGAACACAAATTTATTGTCCCTTCTCTCTCCCAAGTTACTAGTACTACACTCCTTTCGACACCCTCGACATCAGCTCCATCATGCCCATAAAATTGTTATACTAGTATGAAGTTATGACCAACAACTTTTATTCTTGTCAACATTAATGTAATTTGGCCATTAAAATGAAAAAACTAAAATTAAATCCTTACAAATAATCGATTATTGTTGTTAAAATACTTTTGGCTTCTTAGCGTAGTATTCTTAACATGATTAAGCATGAGGTAATAAGTGGTGAGTGATACATTTAATCATGTTAACTTTCATTTTAGACATTACATATGCATACATGGCTAGAAGACCAAATGTAGAACCATGCTAAATTGGAGGGTTTCAACTTTCACTTTTATGGCTATACTATACATGTGAGCAATATGGCTTATGCTGAAGGACAAACCTTTGATTCAGGAATTCAACGACTTGTTTGCATCAATCGTTCTTTAGATACTAAACCTTGTTCCCTCTAAGCTACATCTGAATAATTGGACGCTTATCTTATAGATTTATGTGTTTGCAAGTATGAAATTGATGATTTTGGTGTTGGCTTTTGGTGTTTTGACGATGACAACATTTATGCTTGTTAAAGTTAGTGACAATATTTTTCCAATTCTTGGATGATGGTGATTAACTTGATGATTTATCAAGCCTCATCAAGTAGAACATTCAAGGTTCAAGTGAAATTGTTATATGATCAGCATATCTGGTAAAGGAACTTGAAAGTTTCAGAATTGTAAAAGATAGAAAGTGTGAAGACTCATTTGATTGTGTCTTTTTGAGTGACTAGAATTTTGTGAAAGTAGGAGAGTAACTCCTAAGATACTAAGGCAACTCACACACACACCCCTAAAATACTTTTAAGGTCTTACTTAACAAAATCACCAACAAATATTTTCAAGACCTAACCAAATGATTAGGGGACTGTCTGCTGGATTAAGACAATTTTTTCAACTCTCTAATCGATTAGATCTTGAACCCAATTGATTAAATGACGCCTAATTAATTATATAATTATTTGTGACAATCTCTTAATGATTGATAACGTGTCTATATCAAAATCTTTCAATTTGGACCACAATAATCGATAATTTGAAATGCCTAATCGATTAGACTTAGGGCCTAATCAATTAGGTGAGTTGATTGGCCCGTGAATTGTTTCTTTTTTGAGCCAAAATTTTTCCTATATAAATGAGGTCTCTCCTAACTTAATTTCACACTAGATATAAGATTTTTCATCTCTCTTATCTCTCTTTAAATATTTTCTTTTCATAAAAGTTGCCTTAGTACTTTGTGAGTGAAAAATACTTGTGAAAAATGAGTCGTGTCAGTGTTATTATTTTCAAGATTGTGATACTCTTGAAGAATTGAGTTTGGTTCTTGAGATCAACCACTTGGGAAATATCAGGTTAGTTATAGAACTAATCCTGCAAAAGTTTTGTTTGATTATTGAGATTAGCCAGGGAAATATATATTTGATTTGTGAGCTTAACCCATTGAAAATATCTCTTTTGGTTGGAGGGATATGGCAATGTAAAATCTCTCGATTCACTTGTATTAAAGGTTCATGGACATAACCTGTAAAAGTTCAATATTATAGTAAAATCTCAAGAAGATCTCTTGAGAACAAGATTAGGCCAACTTTTGGCTGAACCTAGATAATTTTCTAGTATCATCTCTCTAACTCTTATCTTTTTAAGTTCCTATAATTTAATTTACTATTTTATTTTTCACTGCTTTACTTTCTAACCTTGAAAATACTAACACAATTTTTTTTCTAAGTAATAAAATATTAAAATAATAACGATTTTTAAATACCACAATTCATCCCCCTCCCCCCCACTTATGGTTGGAGTCACTTGTCCAACAAATGACATCAGAGTCTAACTCTTGTTAAAGAATAATCATCTCAGGAGAAAAATAACTTTAAGTTATTCACTTAATAAATTCATATCCTTTAATGGAGAAGGATATAGTTTGTGGAAAGAAAAAATGAATTTTTTCCAGAGAAGGGATGAATCATGATATTTGGAAGGTTGTGAATGGTGTTGTAGTAAAAAAAACTAGAGAGGATTTGACCAAAGATGGTAAAGAAAATGTGCAACACAGTTTGAAGGCAAAAACTATCATCACTACCGCTCTCGGTCTTGATGAAATTTTACGAGTTTCTCACTACGAGACTGCAAAAGAAATACAGGACATCCTCTAAATTATCCATGAAAGAACTACTGAGGCAAAATGGTAAGGTTAGGCACATTAACTCACAAGTATAAACTTTTCATAACATGAAGAG